AGAGAGAGAGAGAGAGAGAGAGAGAGAGAGAGAGAGAGAATGAGAGTGAGAAAAAAATCATGCGTGCGCGCCATGCATACGAGTCAAAACATTTTTCCACAATTTTGCACACAGATTACCGAACGCACTCAGAACGTTTATATGTACACATTCACACGCTTATTATATATTCTCTTGCGTTTTTTCATTTGAAAAGTACATTCGCACGCAATCGAGAATGTTTTCCAGATTTGCATTTTGATAAGTAGAAAGCAGTCGAGAAGCTTACAACTTTTATAATGTAAGACAACAAAAGATATCAATACCGTGAAGTCTGCGAGCTCAATTGATTACCTCTTAAGTAACGTAAACGTCAGATCTTTTTTTACATTGCCTCATCTCTATGCGTCCCAAATATCGCACACAGGATATATTCCCAGATACAGAAAAGTTTATAATTAAAAAACATTTATAATTACACAATTTGTACGCACATATACACACACGCATAAATTATTTCATATTGCAGAAATTTATTTTTTTTGTTAATTGATCGTCACACCAGCAAATGTCACATACAATATCATCGCACAAGCACACTAATCCGAAACACTACGTACAAGACATTAATCTGAAATTCTCGTAACTATGAACTAATCTGTTCGTCTTGCGAAATGTGTATTGATAGATTGTTAAGAAAAAATTCTTATTCACCGAATGTAGCACAGAGACAAACAATAATATATATAAAAAAAAACAAATAATCGTTTTGCAGCGAAACTTACAATTTATCGTTAATGATATCGATATTTTCGATCAAGATTTCACGTGAACGCTCTCTACATTGTACAAAGTATCGTCTCCGAAAAAAAAAGAAAAAAACGTCGATCACAAATAATCTATTATCGAAGATTTCGTACATATTTCGAACGTACGATTTCTCAGACAACCTGCGCACACGCATAAAGGCGTTTATAGCGAACGTCGCGGGAATCCTGAGAGTGTATTTTTCTAAGTGCTTTGTTTCCCTTCCTTTTCCGTTTTTTCTTACTGAGATGTTATCGACAATATACCGATGGAGGCGTATTGAGAGCATGTACACATGGGACCTCGTATTTTAGACGCGTGTACCAGGCACGTGTATGTAACACGCGTTTCGGGACAGACGTAAATCTCGTTGCGCACAATTGTACTGTACTCGGCTATCTCGCATAAGTTATATTTTATTACATAGAACTATGAGAGAGAAATGATGATTGGGAGATACGATATATGAAAGAAACTCATCGTCACACTGCATCGTTTGACGCACGTTTTTTTAACGCGATACGATTTGCGGAAAGAAAGTATGAAAGAGCAACGGAGAGAGATAGATGTATGTGGAAGAATAGATGCGCGTGTGTCGGTTCGGAGAACTCATGAGACATCATGAAAATATATGATGATTTTGAGGACAACCATAAAATTTCCATAGATTCCGCTCAGAATACTGGAAGTTGCCGCAAATCTCAGTTTTCTGAATGGAATCGAGATCTTTTCGTTTCTACAGTATCTCTCTCTCTGCTTACCAGTGATCTTTGCAACTTTCCGCGGCGCGTTTTGTTTGTTTCCGATGAGTCGATCAGTTTCTTCTCATCGCGGCCCTGTTTTGTCATTTTCGACAACGACTCTGATATCGGTGCGAGAATGTAACGTCTTGGAAAAGGAAGGTGACGGTAGATCGCTCGACAAAAGGAGGATAGATATAGGACACGCGAACGCGACTTGCACACGATATATCTAGGGCGAGCTAACTGCGACTTTAGAGAGGGGAAAGGATAAAGTATTTATACATGTGGAAACCAAAAAGAAGAAAATATATAAGAAGTCTTAAAATGAAACGTACCAAATAGTGCGTGCCAATGCGCATGACTTAACTCTTAGTCTTTACGTTAGGGTATCGAACGCAGATTCGTTAAGCTGCGTTTTCTGTCGAGAAAGAGAGATGAATTACGACGAGACTGATGCTGTGGTCACCGTGTGATATGAGGATTTGATCAGACGCTCTGGTCCTTTAAGTTTTTTTCCTATTCTGTTGATATAAATATCAATCCAACGCATCAAACGCATATTAACCACAATATATAATTATTTTAATAAATATAATTTATCTGACATGAAAAACTACTTAAAAAAACGAAAGAGCGTCGTAGCGATACTGATCAAATCCGACTGTTTGAACGTAATTTATATTAACATCATTATATATCATAGTCCAGAGACGCGGCGCGAAGCTGATAGATGGCAAAATCAACGCGAAGTACTTGAAAAATGTTTCGTCCAACGAAAGCCAAGGAGTTATTCGCTAACTTGATTTGTCTTCTTAAGACTTCGTGTGTGTAAAGAAAAATTCAGTGAGAGATCGACCGACTTGGCGCAACGTTTGTTCAATGTTGTGATCGTGTGCGGAAGATTGTCGGCTTGTTCTCTCGGCTCTAGTCATTTATCGAGAAAAGTTCGTCGATGAGATAAAACTTCACAAAATGCGCATTGCGCGCGATGGAAGCAAGGATTCGGAGCCTGGGACGGTGATGTGGGGAGAGGAAAGGATTATACACGCGTAAATTCAATTATGTAATGTTGATAGATATATCACGCGCTGAGAAGATAACAAGTATTGTTTTAAAGCGTGAGGAGAGAAGACGAGACAAAATATGCAAAAATATATTTGTGTCTATCGAGTTACTAGTTTATAAATAATTTGATGTTTTTGTGTTACACGTGTGTGGGGCGCATAATCTTTGAATAAGAGGAAACTTATATAAAGCAAAAAACGGGCAATTACGCGAACGGTTCTCGACAATAGGCGCGGAAAACGCGGCATCGGCGGGAACGACCGCGAAATCGATATCTACACACATTTGTGATGAATTTGTTTGTGCCGATCAGTCGTTTCGCAACCGGTCACAACGGCATCAGATTAAAAAAAATGTGACGACTTGATATCTTGGATAATTCCGCCAGGGTGGCCTAGTTCACGCATCAACATCGGAAAATTAAATTTTCTGAACGATTCGTGGTGAATGATAAGATTATTTCATACAAAAGTTTAAAAATCATCAGAAATATCCAGACATCTTTTATATATATATATAGAAGTTTTCACATGTCATTATTTGTATAAAGTTAAAAGAAATATAAAAAAAAGCTAACACGGAGATATGTTGTTATAGAAATATTTTACACAAGGCGATTGCGCGCAATGATCATTTTTCATATCAATCGGCAAATTTCTAGCAAAATGTGAACTATGAAATAACAAATTGATACAGATATATAAAATTGAACGGAGAAGACAACATATACTGCAAAAGATTTGTCACTGATAAAAATTGAGCTTTTATTGAAGGTTTGAGCAAGAATTTAAAGCGCACGTTAAGCTAGGATAGCAAAGTTATGTTCCACTAAATGTAATTTGTGCGAGAAATAACTTCTATTTTGGTTTTTTCTTATTGCTATAGCAGAGTTCACGTAAAAACGTCGCAGCTAAAATAAAGTAGTGTAGCATAAAACTTTTATGTGTAATTCTTTTTTTATACGTGACATCAAAGATTTTTTATTAATAAAAAGATAATATTATATATTTTATATGTTGTTTCTAAAAATAATTATATCAGTTATTATCTAAAATGCGTTAAAAGTATTTATATGTCGTTTGTTTATAATGATTTGAAAAGTTGCGAAGTTTTGACGATAAATACTTCACGCAGACACAGCTTGTGTGTACTATATAGCACAAGTAGCTTCACGAGAAGCAATGTATGAATTTGATTTTGTTTGGTAAAAATGCACGAGATGCGAAAGTCTTTCTCTATTTTGTATTATTATCCCTAAGATTAGTGTTATTGACTGTAATCTTGTGCTGTAATTAATAACGTAGCTGTATTATTCATTATTCACTATGATTGCCATATTGTTGTAAAATTAGCTTATTACTACACAGCCAGTAGAAGCTATAATGTGTGACGAGTAATATATATATATATAATTATACATATATAAATATATATATAGAAATACGTATTAGTTACACTATTGCTAAGTCATACTTTTATGTATGTGTGTGCGGACGTGTGATCGAATGAATGGACGCGTATGTGTTTAGCACTTCTAGTCACGTAATCGAACCAAAAACGTAACAAAACTAAATGTCTACGCGTACATGTACGTGCACATGTATACCTGACATTGTTCGCCTGTTTGTGTTTGCATACAGCATGTTCCAGACTCGCTAAAAATATGTTTTACGAGTTTCTGAAAAGATAATAAAAAAAAAAAAAAAAACATGAAAACTAAAACATTTTCGCTATACGAATTTTCAGCAAAATATTATTTTGGCAAGTTCGGAGCATTCTGTACATACCCGAGTACAGTTGCGCGCTTTTCACATGTGACAAATGTGTAAGAGGAAAATAATCGCGATTGATCGAAACAAAGTGCAAACCAAGATCGCATCAATCTTTTATTAGAGATTGTGAATCGTAAAACTTTGTATTTCTAAATTATTTATTTTCTATCTGACATTTAATCTCTATTCGTACTTTTTTATTTTTTTACTGTCATAGTTTCGTTAATCTATTGTTTTTCTAATCTATCACGAGAAGGAAGTCGAGGATGCGGCTAGGCCGCCCTGTGGGGCTTGCGTTTACGAAAAATGAAAAGAAGACGAAACAGAGAATTTTTCCAAGAGAAAGAAACACGGCCTCCCGGTTAAAACTGTAATGACTCTAAATGCGAGGCGAGATGAAAATTTACTGTGCCGACAACAGCCGCGACATGTTCGCTATGTGCACCCTGTCACATAGAATATGCTCTCTGTCTGCCGTTATCACGGCCGAAAGCGAGCGAAATGCTGTAACAACGTATAATTATAATTATAGTGTTATATCGTAATTATAATGAGATTAATGGTAATTATTATAACACACTGATAAAGATAACTAAAAAAAAAATGAAGTGGATGATAATGTTTAATTGACGATCAATAATCAAGAAACACACTGCATTTCATGATGCATTCATAGTTTAATAATCATTATTTGATTTTTCGTTGTGAAAGAATAATGTGTAAGAATCTTATTGAGATATGATCGGGAGGAGAGAAAGGGCGAGCGTTATAAAAAAAAAAAAAGAATAAAACCTCTCATTATATAAAGTTACTACCATGGAAAACCTTTCATTATATAAAATTATTATGTAATAATTGTGTGTCCATACACATCTTAAAATGTCAGAATAAACTAATAACGAAAAACTTTACTTATCTTTGCTTTATTATTTCTATTGCAATAATATATTGTCCATCACGCCAAGAAAATTGTTTTTTTTTGCGGTTACAACAATTGCAAAAATAATTTCTCATCCTTTACTTCTCCAAAATTTTTATAAACAAATGAAAATCTTATCGCGTTGCCAAGTAAACGGAGATCGACTTCGAAGTTTGGTTGGCGCAATAATAAAGAAATACAATCATAACCCTACATCCTCGAATTTATTTGACTAATTAAGATACGTACTACAGGAATTTTGCGTAGTCTGTGGTGACGCGCATATTTCTCTCTCTGTACACGAGATTTTTTAATTTATTCGATTCTTTGAACAGTTATAACATGTATCAGAATTCGCGATGGAGTGTGCAAACATTCACGATGCTGTTCTATACCTGATATGAGTTCAACAGGTGATAACAATATGTTGCACCAGATGATTCATCATGTCACCAAGTCATTCGCATCCTTTCAAGACGCTTTGCGTAACGTTACTGGTATTTATATTATATCACAATTTTGGTTATATTATGTAATAAAATTTTTATTATATCTCTATTACTTTTTATATAAGTCAATAAAACTAGTTGTTCAAGAAATATAGATTATTCTAATTGTAAGAGAGTGTATACGATTTTATCAATTCTAATACATTAAGTGAGAATAAATGAGTGAAATATATTCAGATAATACTCGCGTTAATCGTCTCTCATCCCGAAAGTGCCACCGCGCATTTTTATCCTTACGTATCGGAATTTCAATATACTCCCGAATATCATCCATCGAGAAATCCCGACTGCACATCGCGATGGTTTCGACACGAATTCAACAAGATGCAATTCGAGCACAACAAACATCAACATTTTTCACTCAATCAAGATCGCCCGAGAATCGAAATAAAGGCTGTCCTGGCTCGCTGTTCAAAAACACGAAACAAAATGTAAGAACAACAATACAAAATTAACTCTTAATCAAATTTACACTAAAATGTGTTACAAATATATAATAATAATTTTTTTTATAGTGAAAAAGTATTCCATAAACATAGAAAACCAATAGAAAAGTGTAGAAAAAAAGTGATTATTAGCATGAAAATTAATAATGTTGGAAAGGTAATCACATTATAGATTTGCCAACCTTACGTATAATTTCATATTTCAAATGATCATAAAATTACTTTTGTCTTATTGTTTCAAATTTGTTCTTACTTATAACTATACAATTGTAAACAAATATTTGTGTGCAAAAATATTGTTGTTTTATTAGACAAATACGCGGGAAGAATTTGTATTAGTTGATCATGTAGTGGATCTGGCAACAATGCATAAAATCCGGCTGCACAATCCGTATGTTATAAAAATCCGGCAGGAATCTCTGATGCATTTATATGAACTGAGATTTCAAGGCGTAAGTATGTGCATTATTCTGTTATCAAACTAATTTACACAAAATAGAAGATAGTAGATAAAAAGTATTTGATAAAACATTTATTTTTAACAAAGTGCATACAAATTTTCCTGATAATTTATCAATTTAAGTTTGTTAGTAATTTATTGATTGTTGACAACACAGTTTTTCCACTAACGCGATCTAAATTATCCACGCCTGATACATCAGTATTACATATTAACTACTGCTAAAAAAAAAAAAGATATTTTTATTTTCATCATATCAAATCGTTACGACCAAGGTTATCAATGCAGAGGCAAGAGAAGAAGTCATTAACAATCGTCGAGGAAACTTTAGCGGATGTAATGACGGTTTAGATAACCCGACTTGCGGTGCAATGTTAATTAACGGAGAGCCGATACCATTTAGTCAAGTAAGATAGAAAAGAAATTGGATGCGATATCGTTTCGTTTCACAATCATATAATTAGGTCAAAATATTCTACTTAGTGAAAAAAAAAAAAAAAAAAATAAAACAAGCTCGCGACAGCGTCGTTTGTATGTTAAATTGACCAAACCGTTCTGAGAGAGCCATTTAATTAAACTTCATTCAAGTTATATCGTATAAGAGCCGCGCTTGTACACACAAGATGACGATTTCAGGGTTTCTGCTGTTCTTGCGAGGACGCGTCGCACGCCAGAAGTTTCCATTCAGCTAAGTTAAACTACTATCAGCGAGACGATAGCGCAAACAGTGCTCGCAACAGGTCCGAGTCGAGCGCGAATTTATTTGACAATCCGAAGGCACAACGCCAAATCGAAACGAGTGAAAACGAGAAACAGAACCGCTACGTTGAGTCGGAGAACGCGCGAAGACGAGTAACGAGCCGCAATATTTCCGCTGTTAATGGCCCACTTGGCGAACGTGCGCCACCTCTTCGGAAAGATCAAGGGAAACTGCTTAGAAACAATTCGGTCCGACGCGGATCCACTCGACCACTCGAAGAATTCTCTCACGTGGAGAATGCAGATCGCGCGCAAACACTCGCAGCAAAGAACGTGTTTTTCGATGCCGCGCCAAACGAAGGGAAGATCGAAGCCTATATCGATGTCGTGTACGAACAGGCTATGAAGAAAAGAGCCATGAAGCAAGAGAACAAGAGAGATGAAAACACTTCTCAAAACTCAATTACGAAATTACCGAAGCTAAAAAGTGAACAAAAGTTCGGGAAAATGTACGATGAAGTGGATAATCGGAAATTTCTCGAGATAGCAAAGAAGAACAATCAGTCAGTGAATTTTTCAGGAAGTAAAATTCACGGAGAAAATGCGAGAAATCGATTCAGCAGCGCAGCTTGGTCGGAAAATACTTCAGATTGCGCATCGACTTCTTTCTCGGCAATACATTCGTCGCAAATTCCGGAAGAGAGTCGACTCTCGAAACATACGAGCAAGAATGCGTTTTCTACTAACAGAAGTCTCGCCACGACTGCTCAATTTCTCACTTCACCTGGATTTCCGTTCGAGAGCCCCGCCAATAGAAATATTAATTACGCTGTTACGCCGTCGATGAAATCAAATGGTTTTGAGGAGGACGTGCTCGCGCTATTATCGAAAATTGTGAGCGAAACACGTTCCTCGACGGCGAACGAAGAACAACGATATAAATTTAGGGCACCGCAGAACATCGCGGATAATGTTGCATTGAAAAATGCTCCGACCGCGAGAGAGAACTTAAGTGCGGCCGCGATTCGAAATGATAATGCGAGCGGCGAGAGAGGAACATCGGAAAATGCTAATGTATCGACGCGAATCTCGACTGCTCCCGCTTTTACAAGATTACGAAATCTTTCTTCTTTCACTGGAGTTTCGAGGCTGGAAAAATTATCCGTTTCCACCGCTCGTCTCGGGAATAAATCATTGACGAAAATTCTCGAGTCAAGAAACCGCAGTTCGTTACCTGCGAACGAGGTACAGGGATTCTCCGACGACTTTGCGAATTTGTACGAGAGTTGGGAATCACGTAGAATTTACAACTCGCCAGAGTCAAGATCGACACACGCGGACTTGAAAAACAGTTACAAATTCCGAAAACCGTCAAAAGGCGCGGGGAAGTTTCGCAGCGACAAAGATAACTTGGAACACTTTGGGAAGTCGTTAACACCTGGCAAATTGATAAAGAAGAAGCAGCAACACGCGCCACCGAGTTTCGAACGTGATAAATTTTCGAATAAATTTTCTTCCGAGAGACGTTTTCGAAAACGTCTTCGAAGACATCTTCGAGCTGAGAAAAAAGACTCGCGCTCTTTCGATATTCAAAGAGAAAATGAGAACTCGCAACACGAGACGCAAGTCTTTGTAGATTATCCTCCCAATGTAGTTCATTCCAAACGCAGGTCGGAGAATAGAAGAGAAAATGGTAATCTGAAAAAACAAGTGATTTTGGAACCCGGCTATTCCTACAGGAAGAAAGTCCGGCCCACGGAGAGCGATAATCCATTTCTCTTCAACAAAGACGACAAAGAGAGCAACGTCGATAAGCGGATCGAAGACAAGTTCGCGCGAATAAGCAACGTCCTGAAAGAAGACTTCGAGGCAAGAATTATTCAAGAAACTCCACAGAATTCCGGAACAGCTGCGAAGAGCGAAGTCGCAAAAGTCGATGTCCCTAAAACTCCGAATGAACTTAGAATAAACAATGATTTGTTTTTGCAAAAAGTCGGTGACAAGTCGGATGAGCCGGCTGCGAATCGACGCGATCGAGTAACGCGGCACGAGTATCCTGCCGAATTGATCAGCACACCTCTGCGATCGATGAACAAAAGTTTTCTCGCAACCGCGGAATTCAACCAACTTTTCTTACCAACGTCTGCTCTCTTCAAACCGGAAGTAAAACTATCTCCTACTGTCATCGGTCCCTTTCTGTCACCGCCAATTATAAGAAAGTCCGAACACAATGTTTCGAAGGAAGTTAACTTCAATAAACCAGAGCGAACTTCGCCAAGCAGTCGGAAACAAGAAGACTTTCGTTACACCGAGAGTTCGCTTCTTCAAAATTCGGAGAATAATATGGACGAGTCTTCGGAAAAGTTGCAACAGAATAAAGAAGAGATCGCCGAGCTGGTGGATCGAATCGTGAGGCAGTACGCGGCATATACACCCGTCATGCCGGGCATGCCGACTTTCGACGAGATCACGGAAGCGGAAACACTGCCGCTTGAAGAAGAAACAACCGCCACTCAGCTTACGACGACACTAGCGACGACTACCAAGATCACGGACGTGGCTTTCCGACCTTCGATACGTCCCTTGCAAACGACGTCGCTCTCGGAAGAGCTGCACGAAGAGATCTCTTTGGACGACGAGACGGAAGTGACGACAACTGGCGGAGAAACGACGATCCCTAGACGAAAATTGCAAACTGAAAGATCCAACGTGAAAGTCGCATCAGCAAAAACGCGGAAAATGTCGAACAGAACCGAGAAAAGTAAAAACCTTGCCAAACGTGTTACAAGCTTAAAAGTAGCGGATGCTGTAGAAGAGGATCATCCGTGGTATCGTACGACGAAAATGCAACAGATAATTACGGCAAACAGTTCCAAGTTTTTCCAGACAGCTAATAAAACAAAGAAGCAGCACTCGAAAGTAGATTATCTTCAAAATTCTTCTTCGGGACGGACCGCGTCGACAATAGTTTCTCTCGGCGTCGCGGACGACGCTGATTTCGCGCAGACGAGAAGCAAGAGATCGGACTTTATCCGAGAGTCGAGTGATTTCCCGGTCTTTTACGATTACGAAGAAGGAGATGAAGAGAATCGACAGAGCAGAAGAGCGGTTCTGGAGAAAAACGAAGAATTTCCGAATATGACGGAGTCAACTGAATTACAGACTCGAATGGGAAAAAGATTAGCCGGCGAATCTCTTCGGCATAGCTTTGAAAGTCGGGACCGAATAGAAAAACACAATATTACACTTCGAGACGGTATTGCGCGTAACGTCAAGCTTCGTCGTGCCGATCTTAACGAGCGATATTTCACCTCGGACGTGCAAAAAGATGAACGCGAGAAGAATGCGCGAGAAAGCCTGAAGAACTTAACTTCTCTGAGACCACATAACGTGAATAATAACGCGAATGCTAAATTTGACGAGGACATTTCTCCGAGAAATCGCGAAACTGTGTCGGTGTCGAAAGGTCTTTCCGGATTGTCGCGCGCAGAACTGGCGATCGATCGGAAAACGGCGGAGAAACGCGCCTTCGGCGAGCGAGCGGTGCTCGAGATCGACGGGTTAGTGATGGCGCGAAAAATCGCGGCGAACTTGTCGGGAAACGCAAGAACCGCGAGTGCGAACGATTTGTCGAATCGTCGTGCGGAACCGCAGGAGGAGTCGACGAGCGCGATATTACGAGGTTGCGCAAAAAGCCTCAGGGACCGAGACAAGAGTCACGGAGCGGATACTGTCGTTCACAACGCGAAATTGATGATGGCGGACGACGATAAAGGCGACACGCGAGATCTCAACGTCGCGGCTAAAAGTATCGACAAAAAGACTCGGCCGTTGCTGTATTTTGTCGCAAAACAGCGGGGGCGTGAGAACGTGAGAAAGATTAATGAAAATCCCGCGGATTTTCGAGTGCGTCGCGTTTCCGGAGGGAAAGAATATCTTCGACGCTCTCGAGACAAGGTGTACGATACTATCCGCAAAATGATCGAAAAGATCAAGAAGATGAGAGGAAAGTCATCATCGATATTGGGCAAGACGAATATCGGCAAGAATATCGCGGGAAGAAAGGAACGTGCCGATCGATCGTCGGCGAATTGGCATCGATCAGGCAGACGATTACTGTCGAGTAGAAAATCTGTCTACATCGAGAACGATGAATATTACGAGGACGATGAAAACGAGACGGACGGAGAGAATGACTCGACGAGCGGTAATGAAGCTATTGCCAGAAGGGATGATTTATCGGGCTTCGGGAATCAACCTGGCCTACGCGAGGATCAAGATTCACGGAAATTGGTGGCCGTGACGGATCGATCGGCAAGCGAGAACGCCGCGAGCGCTGCAAAGGAAAGAACGGCGGCTGGCGATGCCGCGATAATCTCCGATGATCTTCGAGCGGTTAAAATATCAGAAGCTCCTTTCGAAAACGAAGACGCGCCTGTTATCAAAAACACTGCCGACAACATCTTTGAGCGAGGAAAAAACCATTTCGATGATTTTAAAAATGCTTTACAAAACTCTGAAAACTACGAAGAAGAAGTCGACGAAGAGCCACTTTCGTTTCGCGAAGAACAGATCAACGGAGATAACACACAAGATGAATCTCTTTATGAAACTCCGTCGATAGTTCCAACAGAACCAACTACAGACTTTCCTACCGTAATCGATCAAAATTTATCGAGTACAGAAACATTTCACAGTATAGCGCGAAGCTCATCAAAAGATGAGGGAAGCATCAAAATTTCATTAACTGGAAGGATCCAAGTGAATGGCGCTTTCAATCAAACGTCAGTGCTGATAAGCTTTGACGCCATACCTGATAGATCTCCAATAACACAGTCTTTAACTTGGACAGAATTGTCGAACGTTACAAGCGAAGCCACTGTCATTAATCTCCCTTTCAATGACTCGAACGCGTTTGATCTCTCGTCCATAACCGAGCGCGCGAATGACGAAGCAAATAATCCATCAGACATGATACCGGGTGCGAATGAAGAAGCCGGCAAGACAAATACGAACCAAGTTGCGATAAACTCCCGCGAGAAGTTTTTCCATTTGGCGCGAAGAAGAAGCGGGGAGGAGAGAAGAGGAATTGAGAAAACGGATCCTTCTCAAATCGAGAAGAGATTGGACAAGTATAACTCGAACTCGGGAACGGCCAAACAGGTATTTCCAACAGATTACTCGAAGCCGTCGATGGTGCCGCGCGACAAAATGGACAGGACGAATGTCAGAGGGAAGTCTTCCGAGCGACTCGACGAAGCGATCGACAAATTGGATCCTCCTTCATCCGCCAGTTCGGTTCCCCGCTTTCCCAACATATTAGGATCCGTTCTGGTGAGCAACGACAGCTTGAAAAATTCAAACACGACCGAGGAATTGCGATATCGAATCGATACCTCTTCGATCAAAGCGAATCGATCTTGTTCGAAAAACGATCGTTCGAGTACACTTCGCGTTGTACCGTTGTTGCGCATCAAAATCGAAAACCCGACGAACATTAAGAGAAACAAGACGAAATGTTGTGAGGATTCGCGGAACACCACTTCCGGCGGTTGCTACGGTATGCCCGTGACCGTTCGGGAACTCGAACTTCCCTGGACGACTTCGCGCGAGTTGCAAACTTGGAGTAATTATCGCGACAGCGATCCCGTGAAAACTTTTCCTCCCGCAATCCCCGAAGCGACTGCAAACCAGAATATGGAAACTACAAAGTCCACGTTATCAGCACCGAACATACTTGAAACCACGACTACTTTTACGAACGAAACGCTTTCTACCGGAACATCGTGCAATGAGTGTAACGACGAGTCGAGTAACGCAATTCGCATCAAGAATACGATGGCCATCGTGAGATTCATGATGAAGTTGCTGAGAATCATCACAGAGCACGAGGAATCTCCTTGTTCTCGAACTCAGATAGGAGAGACATCGATTCGTGTGAATAACGTGGTTGTCAACGTGTCGAGTCAAAATCGGAATAGCGTTGGAAAGCAGAGAAATGTTACCGATAAGATAATGATGACATCAGAGGATCTCACGAGCGCTGAGTGGCAATCGACGATCACGGAAAACATTCGCGAGAAATTGTTACCCTCGAATGACGGTACTTTTGAGTCCTTTACTGAAGCACCGACTACGTCCACCTTGCCAACCTCTTCCGATAAGGTGTTCAAGGACGAAAAACCATCCACGCTCTTTGAAACTACCACGAGAAAGGAAGTACACGTCTCCGCTTCATCGAGCACTTCTCCCGAGTCCTTTCTATTTTACGATCCCGTACAGAAGTCGCCTCGCAAAGACGCGTCTCGGAAAAATACAAGCGTCGATGCGGCGGATGTGAAACAAAATTCAAACGTCTCTTTTACCGGTCCAAAGGAAAATTCGGGTGAAAGAAAATCTCGATTGGACGATAGCCAAACAAATGGTTCGTCTTCGCGGCTACGGAGAAGAGATCGAAGTTCCGTCGATCGACTTCGCTTCGACAAACAAGAAATTGCTTCCACGACAAATTTCATAAAAGATAAAATCAAATCTTTCCGGGAAGACTATGTAGCGAAGAATAAAAGTGTCGCTAACGATACCATCAGACCGATACGTTCGCGCGATACTTTACAAGAAATCGGCGTTTTAAAAGAGGACAAATCCGAGTTCAAGAGATCGAAACAAACCGAAAAGACAAGAGTATCAGATCGGCAGGCCGCGAGAACGAAATTGCTTAACAGGTCCACGGGAAGAAGTGCCTCGGGAGATTGGATCGGGGAACATCGGGCGGTCACACGGCAACTGCCGGTCGATAAGAAACTCCGGGAGTCGCGCGAAGTAACGGGCGGAACTGCAACGCCGGAAAAAGTCGTATTTCGGCGTGTCCGCGGTAAGATTAACTGTCCCCGTGACCCAAATCTCGGCGAGAAAGATTCATTTAAGATCGAGGGACAACACATCGCCGGAAGAGATAGCATGGCAAAACTTTTAACCGATGACGCTTTATCCATCAGCGAAGGATTAAGTTCGTCGGAGAAAGCAGATTTCTCGAAAAGAGGAAAATCGATTCGATATTTATCCATCAGTGATAATACTGACGCATCTAAAGTTAACGAAAAAATAGCGGAAAAACGTACGAGGTCTGTCATATAGAAATTAACTTAAAAAAATATAAAATTAAAAATATAAAATATAAGAAATATAAAATTAATTTTTTAAAAACTATGCACAATGTATTTTATTCTATATTATTTTTATAAAACAAACTTGTACATTTCTTGATAAAATGTTTCACGTAATTAGTCATGTTACATGACAGATCGTAATTTCAAATTGTCTCATAGTGCTCCGGGCAAGAAACGCGATGTCGGCGAACGTCGCGATTTCCAGAAAGATAATCGCGTATTTAGAAAACGGCAAAAGATTCCGAAAAAGAAAACAAAATGGCAGAAAAAGAAGAAAAGAAAGAAGGGTGCTCAAAGAACGAAAAATATATCCGGGGCTAGAAACCAACAATTTGGAAGACATTTATTAATGATGTCTCCCGAGCAAGAATCCGGATATGATGCCGATGACGCTGTGGCGCGACTTTTGAGACGCTACAAAAATGTTGAAAACACGAAACGCCATGAGGACGGAAGTCGAACGGTCGATGGATCGGAAGTCGACCCCGTTCGAGCTCAAATCCGGGGTGGTCAAGATTGCACGGATCGCAGACACCCGCCGAATATCGATGCGGCCAAATATCTGGAGTCCGCGCATTGTTTGCGCTTTAGTGATTTATGGTAGGTCGCCATGGGGATTTAAGGGGATCGCAACTCGAACCGTGATTCATGTTGAGAGCATCACGTTTGTTTCATCGCGGAAAGAGCTGAATGCGAATTTTTTTTCGCGTTTATTAATTCAAAATTTAAAGAGAGAGAGGAAAAAATAAATGATGAAAATTTAAAAAGGTGATAAATTAAAACTGCGGTAATATACTGGAAGAATAAATGTGGTTCTGCACGAATAAACTGCAATATAAAATTAATCGTAAAAAATACATATTTTTTCAATTTGTTACTAAAAATAACAGCGCTATTTCAGCCAATCGTTACGGAAAGGCCGTTGTGTTTTATCAATCAAAACAATTTATTTTAAAAAATTACGAAGCCACAAAATACAACCATGCGTAAACCACATAGAGGTAGTGTAAGTTATTAAAAACATTAAAATAGTGGTCAATAGTTTTCTATCATTTATTTTCTGTTTTTACACTGTAATGTACGATAACAATTGCAGATTCTAGACACAACAAAAGCAAAGATGTAGTGCTTTGTTACCCGTTTTCAATAGTCTCTGCAATTGGCATTGCCGCAAATTAATTAACAAACAATCGATATATATATATATTTTGTATAATTTTATATTTTATTTGCCATATTAAAACAATTTATCTACGTATTCAAACTGACTCTTTCACGATGCCAAATGTATAATTATAAATTTATTGTTTGTTATCAATTGCAACTTCTCTTTCTAAAAGAGAAGTTTGCAAGAAAATAAACGTCAGAGAATTCTACAGGTATTCCGTATATCAGTTGAAAGATCCCATCGTCGAGCACACGGTATACCTTCAGGTTTATGAAAAACGCGCCTTAGCGAATGGATCGACTTACTGGAAAGATCTCACTGGAGATTTCGTAGTCAGGTGAGCAAGTCTCGTGGTTAAATGTGCATCCGACTCTATATTCGAAGCGGTTCGATAAACTTCACGCTAGACAGGTCGTTTATGCCATCAGATTGGGCACGTTCAACAGGCACCACAGAGGAAGCCGAGATACAATCGCTTTCTCCTACAAGGAAGTGAAAACGTCGCGACGGGAGGAAAAGGAGGTTCCTAATTTGGATGTCGTTCGCGATCGTCTTTTGGTGCCATCGTCGGTGACATCAAAAGGTTCCGGATATCCTGTCGAAGGTACATCGAACTCCGGGCACGTTTTCAATATCTTCTCTCTCAAAAGTCGGTATTTTATATCGCACTTATACAACTTGATTTGATTTATAATTAAAAAAAAAAAGAATTTCGAGATCGCATTTTCTTTAAGATTCGTCTAAAACGTAGAAACTGTAAAAAAAGAATCGGACGAGTATCTCGTGGTACCGGCAAGTAGCATCAACGAGTACGGGAACGAGTGCGACAAAGCGGGCGTAGGATTCGCGGCGTTCGCGAAGCAACCAGATCGGTGCGGACGTGTCCGTGGAACCTGTTTGAAAAATCAGCCCCTGGCCTTCCGTAGGCACGACGTGGTACGTATGACAGGTGCAATAAATGAAACAACACTGGAAATAGCCTGTCCTCGGGCTATCTGTGGGCGTTGCGTCGTGTAAGCGAGCGCGCGCGAGACACGCTTTAAGTGCGCCCGCTCGTTCGTTCGCTGTGTAACATGATTTATCGCGCACGAATTTAATACTTATATCGCAAAACGTTGCGAAGGGATATTTGTCCCGGCGACGGGCACGGACAGTCGCATACAAATCGCTCGTCGGGAAAGAGACAGCGCGGATTTTTATATATCGCGTTGGCTCTGTGATATGCGAAACGAGGAATCCGAATCGTTCCGTCGCGTTTGGACAAAATACCGAATTTGTCTCGCGCACGTAAATGTGTGTCCGTAGCGATTGCTCGAAACTGCGAACCCGTTGTTACGTTATGAATTATTGTGCCGCGGAATTGCGTTCTCTTTCTCAATTAAATCGTTGTAATCGCAAAACGACACGTTACATCGACATTCTCTTTTTAGCGCGTCAATTGAATTTTATTTAATTTTGGATTTTATATTTTTTATGATGACTAGCACAACACAGGCGCGCGCTACGAGCACGCTGTTATTGTTTTTATTTTAACGTGTTGTGCCAGTAAACACAACCTGTCACCGTGATGACAGCTAGTATATATATACGTCTTACAAACCATATAATACACATGATGTACATATGAGACATGTCAGAAATAACGCATGAAAATCAAACTCAAAAACTAAAGGAAAGGAGAGTGGAAAAACAATACGTGACTAAAGTCACGTGTCTTCAAAACCGTGACTAAAGTAAGGTCACGTGACAGGGAAAAGAGTAAAAAAGAGAATATTATATATATTATATATAATATTTTATATCTATATATAATACACACACACACACACACACACACACACACACACATATATATATATATATATATATATATATATACCGTAATCACGTGACTAAAGTCCCCGCCGCGGTCGCGCGACCGAGGTCAGTAACCCGCCGCGGTCGCGCGACTGAGGTCAGTGACCCCGCCGCGGTCGCGCGACCGAGGTCAGTGACCCGCCGCGGTCGCGCGACCGAGGTCAGTGACCCAGCCGCGGTCACGCGACCGAGGTCAGTGACCTTACTGTAGTATGTATATAATACATATAATACAATATAAAGTATAATATTATAAATATATAATAAATTATACGTATAATATATATTATTTAATGTTATATATAATATAAATTACGTATACGACGTATAATATAAGTCACGTTACTTTAGTTACGTGTTGTTTTTCTACTTTTTTTGTTACGTGACTTTACTTTAGTCACGTTTTTAATTTTCTCCGCGTATAAGACGAACTGTCAAAATCGCTTTTCTGTCATTATTTACTCTCTCGATTTTACCGATTTGATTCGACTCGATTCGACTCGATCAATCAATCAATAGGAGGATTTTATATTTGTTTTAATTATATTTTTTAAAAATATTAAAGATGATTCGAGAGAGACAAATTTAGAACGATTAAGTATCGTTTGTCAGAATTCGTTTGTCAGATTCGCGCGAACTGTAATATGTCAGAGTCGAAGTTTATCAGCGAAAACAGACAACGACGTCACAAACGTATGTCGGAAACCACCTCGTGTTCCCGCGAACATTTCCGTCGGTCGGCGGAATCGAAGGTCGAGCAACTGTTCGATCTAGTGTCACGTGTCGACAGGAAGCTCGCGCGGCCGGGCGACCTGGTTGCTACTTCTTGAGCAATTTCGCATCCGTGCCGAGCGAGCCCATCAAGTACAGCGCAAACGGAAACGGAAGTCGCGAGTTTCTCGCTCTGGAGTACCATTCGCCGCACGTGTCTGCGATTGACATCGAAGTCAGGGCGAGTTACAATGCCGCCCTCGTAAGTGGGTAAGTTTTGAGAGGAGCGATACCTCGCCTGCCTCGAATTAGAACACTAAGATTAACCAACTCTAATCAGTTCGCTCATACACTTCTCTCTAATTTCATTCAAAATAAATTCTAACCAGCATTTATCAAATAATTTATATTTGACTAATGAATAGTTTTCTTTACAAGTTTATTATATCTCAATCTTCTTACGTAATTAAAAATATTTTAGTTATAATTTGAACTTTTTCAACATACAAGTTTAATTTACTTTACAAAATCTCAGATCTTTCGGTCGTATCAGTAAAGTTTACGTGGACAGCACGGCACTTGATCATACTGTAGTTACGGTCGTTATAACCAACACGGGGCTAACTTCGATGTTCTATCGGTCAAAGATCACCGACTGTCCTGATGGACTTTCGGAATCCTGGGTAAATGTTACGTTTCCTAGGAAAATAGTTCTACCTCAACGTGATCAAACAGTGAGCTTGAATCTCTACGGCGAGCTGTCCATAAGCGAGTTTTACTGTTCTGGTAAATATAGCGATCTAAGCGATGATCTTTTATTCGTTTTATGTAAACTGATTTTATATACGCATCTAGTCTGATAAAAACAAAGCGTGTAACTTGTTTAGTCTCGATTCGTGTTGTTGGACGCGACTGTTATCGTTCTGGCATGCGTAAAATACATATGTATATGCGAGAGATCGTATGTGCAAAAGTTGCATGCGCTCACGTTTTCAGTGCAACTGGAGAATCGTATCGGAGAACTGGTGGCCAGCAGGAGGATAAAGATACGAAAAATGGATCGTTGCTCTTGCGTACTGCACTGCTTATGCGTGTGTGTTGGCGACACGCGTGGCACAGACTGCCGACCGATATCCCCCGAGCTTTATCACGCCGCGGGATTTCGCGGTCCTGTTCCCCCGGCCACTCACGGCATTTTCTCAGACACAAAAGTAGATGTAATGCTCTTCGTCGTCTCGTTGATGTTTCTTTTACTTTTCATGGGTAAGTTTTCATGAGCAAGTTTTAGTAAACACAATAAACAACTTTTTTATTTAGTAGGTTAATATTTTTTATGTTTTTTTCTCAACAAAATCTTAAAAATTATTCTATTTTAACGTCACATCTTCTGGTTTTAATATTTATGCGACGATGGCACATAAATATTAAAACATCCATTTTTCTCGCAGGTTTATTGAAATGGATCATCGGTCTACGCTCGCCGGCCGTCGGACGCTGGGGTCTGGATTCTTTGCTGGAGTGCAGAAGAATGTCGGAGTACTTGGAGCGAGAATTAAAATGTAAATGCGTGGTGACGGACGAGCACGGCGCACCGGTGCATCCTGAAACACGGAAGAAAACCGTCAGAATATGCAGCAGGTGAGAATACAGTAAGTAAACATATCAACGTACACTTAGTACGCCACACGATCCGCGAAATGTTGTGTGTTTCTTAGAAAAACGGAATTCTTCCTGAACGCAACGTTTTTCCTAATCTTTCCATTCGCGGTTTGCTGCTATCGTTTCAAGAAGTTGTTTCGGATCAGCCGAAGACGCGATTCGGACAAATCTGAAGTAAGAGTACCTTTTTTTTTCGTCTTTATGCGTGTCTTAAACTAAAATCTCGCACTGCGAAAACTTTTCACGCCTTTTGTTGCGGCACGTGTCGCGTCTTTTTGTCTAGATCAGTTCGACGAACGATAAGACCGAGCGTCCGGAAACGATCTGTGTGAGCACTTATGGCGATAACCGAGACTCGCAAATGGAAGCCGAGGACACTAAGTACGTGATAGACGAACTGAAGAAGTCTGAAGAAGTGTTACGCAATCACAGTAGAAGTGGAGTAAGTGATGACATAAAAAATCACGATATATCAAGCTGCTCTTGAACTCTGATGAAGCGAATTAAAATGTCTACAAAAACATTGGTGAATAAAAATGACACTAACGCGATTCAAATTTGAAAAATATTTTCAGGAATTTTCAGGAATCGCGATATAATTTGCCAGAATATAATTCAGTACGTTAAAACGCATATAATAGAAGGTTTTTTTTTGTTTTTACCAGCGGTGTTAATTACACCGTTTTTGCGCGGAAATAATCACACATTAGTTTTGATTATCTAGAATTAAGGACACACTCTCCGAGGATCGTATTTGGAGATCCAATTTATCGTTCGGGCTCCGAAAATGGAACGTATGTGTACACGCAGAGAGATTAGAGAGATTAGAGTGGCGCAGGCGGAGATTAGAGCCTCGGATATGTGTAAAATATAGGAAGAACATAAACGTGAAAACGCGCGTCCGCGTTCGCGCGAGCCTCGAACAAACGGTGCGGTACGTGACTCCAAAATGGCAAATGGGATACGACGACGATTGGGCCCGATAGAAACGATATTTCATCCGTGAATATATGTGCGATCCGCCATTCGTCACGAACGCGACAATAAAGTAGACGTTATTGTCGCAAACTGTTGGCACATAGAATTGCGAGCGAAACGCAAGATGCGCCGTTCTATTAATTTTAGCATTCTTTCAACAGTTGAATACTTTCTGATTTATTATTGTTTGCGGACGCTAAGAGCTATTTATCGAAATGGACAGAGAGAGAGAGAGAGAGAGAGAAAAACGTGACGCGAATAATATCGTTGTAATTTTCTTATTTCAGAGAAACCGCTGCGCAAAACAATGCCGTTCACACCATTAACACCGTTCCGAGAGCACGGAAATAATTCTACTTTAATTGCTATAGAAATTCGAAGAATCGTCTTGACGTATTTTCGACGAAAGATATATTTTTGTAATTAATTACCGTTTAGATTGTTGTTGTGACGTATGAAATGTGTAATGTATATTATGAAATACTATATAGTCAATAAAATGTACGTAACAGTTATTATCGTGAATTATCATCATATAATATGGCACATTGCCAGCTTCCGAGTTTATATATCAAAGCGCTTTGCTTTATAATGAAAAATGTAATTTATAATATAACTCCCCCCTGCGCACACACACATACACACACACATACAGGGTGAAGATGCGAGAAAAGGGAGAGGCATACAAGGAGAAACCGAGAGTCCACGAGAGTTATGCGCAATGCGGTTGTGCCGCAAGACTCGGGGAATTTGTGACCGCTTCCGGCGGATATCTACGGCGCGGGTGGGTGTATTCCGGGTCTAACCTATTTTTTCGTTGAGTACTATTTATGTACACCATCTGGATGTAAATATTCATGTGGGACGCGCGCGCATTTACCATGCATTGCGTTCTCCTAGCTGCGGCGAATCGAAATAAATGCTCGTCTCGCGCGGGCTAAACTTTCAGCCTGCGCGAGATGCGCGCGCGCGCCCCTGACTCGCCGCGGCTCTTCGATCGGACAGGACATTCACCGGCCGTTTTATTCGTGTCTTTCGATACTTCTGCAGGTCGAGACTGCGCGTTGTCGTAACTCACGTTTGTCTACTTTTGCGGGAAATACCGTCGATTCTATTACAATGAACAGTATCGTAACGAAAAACCGCAGAAAGTGACGTAACAGAGAAATGGTTGCAAAAAGTTTAATTTGGCTGCTACTACAAAAAAGTACACTCTATGATTCAATCTCTTGTATGTACGAGTTCGAATTATTAAATTAATATCAATTATCGTTAAAATTAATAATAATATTATTGTAGTGAAATTTACTATATATATATTATATATTTCAATAGAAATATATATATATATATATATATATATATATATCTGTGTATAAAATGAATAATTTAATTTCAAGATTATTCACGTTGATAAGTGATGTATTGCGAGAATATAATCATATATACGAGTAAATAGAACGAAATGATTAGTATTGAAATTAATTTGTAGTGTGTTAATATATAATATACGTTACAAAACCGTACGACAAACGACTCGCTTTTCGGTCGAGATTTCAAAATCGAACGTGTGCTTCTCATACCTATAAAGCAGGCGTATGCAAATGCACACACCTGCGTCGACTTCCGCGTATAGGTATATATACGACGAAACGGAGAAAGGCCGCTCTTTCGTCATTATAATTCGATAGCCTCCGGGCTCTCAGGATCGACCGTACTTTACTGACCACGCGAGAAACGGTGAATGGATAGATACGGGCGGAAACGAACAATAGCGATGTATAGGCAACATCGACGGTTCACCACAAGAAGTATACACCGTCTAGATTGCCGCGATCGGCTTCACGTTTCGCGCGAAACCGGATGCAGAAAAATCGAATAACCAGGATAAGGATGAGGATTAACGACGCGATCGCTCAAGGTTGAGCGCAAGATAACGTGAGCCTTTCGCCATCACAAAAAGGACGAAGAACGTACCAAATATTTATACAAGCGATTACACGAGGGAACCCCCGAGGACAAGAGAACAAGTTCGGTTTGAAGGAACGGCAGCGGCGGCGGCTGCAACTCCGCGCGCCTCTCATGCCGGAAATAAATAAACCGACTTTTCTTTCCACTGAGAGAAGATATCGCGGCGCGCTTCGTAACTTCGAGCCTGCGGATGTTGACGTTTCGTACAGCTCGCGTAGAAGCCTGGAACGTGGCAGGAAGCACCCTTGGGGACGACCCCGATGCGCTTGGAAGTTCTATTCCTCGCGTGCGACGCTTTGTTTTAATATGGTGACGGTAATGGGATAGTTGGAATCCGTCTGTAGTTGCTTTCACGGAATGTGTGATGGGAAAAGAATGGTTTAAAGGATGTTGAATCACAACGCGTATAAATTTCTTTTAGAAACTTGAAAAACAGAAGACAGAGACTTTAGTTTTGTTTTTTTAATTTGACAAAGAAATTAATTTCGCAATTTGTACAATATTATAGTTACGTGTTGAAAAAAAAAAAAAAAATAAGTTTGTTACAGCAGAGTAATCAGGAATGAATGTGTAATCAACATCTTCGATCGCTGATCTCACGTACCTACAATTTACTGCCGATGTTTTGTTCGCACGCACGTATTCTACTCTCGAGATAAACTGAAATTAAACAAAACTCGCACACAAACCGGTTCGATTCGCGATGCAGCGAGATGCAACAGCCGCGCGCACATCTGCTGCTGAACGAATGCGCGCCGCATCTGAGAGCGCACAAATGGTGATTATGAGAACAAAAGGGTGAACACCGTTGAATATATCCGTCGTAGTATACGCGCACCCCGGGTGTGTGCGTCGACCTCTTTCTTTTTCTCCGGCTCCCTCTTGCCACCCCCTCCTTTTTCACAATTCGCCATCTTTTGTCTTCCTTTCGTTGACTCTACCGGACTTTTTGCCCTCTCTGCCTTTCGTCTATAATTCCTCCCATTTTTAGCACTTCTCTCCGTTTTTAGTTGGCGAATTTTAACGTCAATGGCTTATTGTGAGCCGAATAAAAGGTATGTTCGAAAATAGTCACGCAATGACGTTGCATAATATCCGAATAATGAATCGTTCGTGTTGATGGAATGAGACTTCCAGGTCGTGCAAAATAATTTCAGCCAAAGAACGAAGAAACAGCTGTATGTAAAGAAAGCTGTTAAAATACAATATTCGTTTTCGTAAAGTAAACAATATACGTCTGTAAATTAGATTATCATCAGACGTTCTTCTTACACTATAAAGTTGATAAAATTGAAATTAGAATAACAATGCAATTTCCGAAGCACAACAGCAACGCAGGAATCAGAGAATTTTTGTCAAATCACTGACGCAGAAGTGAAGAATAATTTGTTGTTTCGTCAGTGTGCCGCGGAAATTACGCGATTATACCTCAGTAAACTCAGGCGCAATTTTGCCATTCCAGGCCAAGCCGTGTGTTAGAGGTAAGTGCGAAATAGCCTTGAAACGACATGGCGGCGCGCATTGTTCCTCGGTCGTGTACGCCGAATTTCGAAACGACCAACTGCGAAACTACGGCGAAAGTCCGACGATTTGGCGTACACGGGTCCGTGTTGCATCCGCTCGCATTCGGAATAGTTCGATGGCGACGCATATAAATAAAACGCGGTCGCGTTCTCTCTCAAGTTATTTATCGAAGGATTGTACATTATTCTATATACGCGCGAGAACTATTGTGATCAACGGAGAAATTTGTTGATATTTATTACTGTCATCGACTCTATTCTTCGAGAGATGTTCTAAAATCATTTTTATTGTTTAATATTAATCAATCTTACGTTTTCTTATAAGAAAACATTTTCTCCTTGTATTTTAGTTAATTAACTTGAATTTATTATTTCATGACTTTGCAGAGTCGCTCCTTGACCGGGAGTTCTATCTCGGAGCGTAATAAAATGTTGTCACTCACACGCTCGTTAAAACGATGGTAAAATAAAGCCGGCATTCACAAGGCAACGGTGCTAGATTTTACGTCGTTGATGCTGCGCTGACCACGACTGAGTTACCTATTTCCGTTTTATCGCCCGGTTGCTCTAATCTCCAGTACCCACTCTTCGTCGTACAACGAATCGAGTGTACGACCGGTTTCTCACAACCCAAGTTACGCAACGTTGGCCGATCTCATCGATGCGGCAGATCATTCAGGAATCAGGACATCGGATTTCCTACCCATAGGGATGACGTCGCATCGTCGCCACTTCTTTTCTGCACAGCTCGTAAAGATATAGAGCGCAATTTCCTTCATTTTGCATGGCCCAATAAATTGCGATTTGCGCCGCGCGCTTTATCCACTTTTCTTTAGACTTAGAAAAGCGATAGTCTACGCGCGGCACATCTAAACCGCCATTTTGTGAGTAACGCGAATAGATAAACGATAAGAAATAGCAGCTGCTTTTCATCATCATTTACTTTATATTAGCCATAAAACGATCGTTTGGATATTTTCTGATTGCGGAACGCATGCTCGACGTATTTATCATTTTTCGTGCTCCAAATCTCGCGCAAATGTATAATTATCAATAGTATGCGTTTTTGTTTGTATGAAAGAAATCGTACTCCTATATAATTAAACTTATTATGCTCATTCTGAGGAAAAAAATTCGCGTCTGGCAAAATGACCAAGTTACGACTGTAACGCTTGAATTAAGAATTTCACGGAGATTACATTGTAGATAACGAAAGACATATGCGGCATGAAATACTAGCCGCCTTCGGCGTGCGGCCTCGAGATGGGGAACCTTTCTGACCGAAAAAGATTTGAGCGCGTCAAAACCGGTTTGAATAAATACACATCACCGGCATGATCTTCCCTATAATTTACGGCGGAATTATAAATTTATCTAGACATTGCCCGTTCTCGTCGGACAATCACTGAAATATCACTGGCAGAAACAACAAAGAATAACGATTAGAGCCGTCCTCGCGTCTCTGTCCTCTTTGTTGCTGTCGTGATTAATATTTCAGAGTTGCTTATATTGTTACGTGAATGTAATTACTTACCTTAATCAATTTCACGAGTCATTAAGATAATTAATGGTTCGCGCATAGTTTTATTTTGTTCGCTCTCTCAATTACGCGAGGTGGTTGTGACGAGAGACACGGAAAAAGTATTACGTTACGCACATTAATATTATTGCGAAAACCATCTGATGAAAATTCGCGACCTTTTACAATTTTCCGTTTGATATAATTAGAACATACATAGCGTTACACGCGATTCAAGCGTGGTGTACCATTAATCGTTTGAGAGTCCTCTCTGTCCGGCACGAAATTTGCGCGATGCATATGCATGTAGGCAGGTATGTTTACAACCACGCGTGCGGCGTGCAATGAACCGGTTAACTCACTACGAATTACACACAGAGATCGCAATAAATAACGTCGCGCGCGAATCTTGGCATTAACGCGTCTAACAA